CGGGAGGTGGGGGCAGCTTTGGGGGGCCCTGGGGAGGGTGTCGGGAGCTTTGGCGAAGTTGTGGGGAGGTGTGGGACGTCTGGGGAGGTGTGGGCAGGTGCGGGGAGCCTGAGGGAGGTGTGGGGAGGTGTGGGGAGGTCCGGGGAGGTGTGGGGAGGTGTGGGGAGGTGTGGGGAAGGTGTGGGGAGGTGTGGGGAGGTGTGAGGAGACGCTAGGCCGGCCCGCGCACTCGATGTCGAAAGAGAGGATCCGCATCGGCGCCATGCCGAGCCACTCGCCCTCTGGCTGATGCGCGACCAGGTCCGAGAAGAAGAGGTCCGCCTCCAGCTGCGACGTGGTCGCCTAGTACCACACCCTCCAGCGTCTCGAACCCAAAGTGGGTTCGGTCCCGTGGCTATAGGGTGAGCTTCTGGTCGCCTTCTTGACCACGTGCCCCGTCCCCTCGGAGGTCCACGGGCGCGCGCGCCACTTGCCGGCCGTCAGAGAGAGCCAGCTCATGCCCTGGATGTCGCGGTCGACCATGAAGCGCATCACGTAGGCCCAGTTGGACTCGTACGTCTCGAAGGAGTGCGCGCCGCCAGAGGGGAGGCTCATCCCTTGCTCGAGCAGCCGGCGCGCCGTCGAGACGAGCGAGGGGAGGCACGTCACGATGCGGAGGAAGACGCTCTGCTGCCCGAAGGAGTAGTTCATGATGGACTTCTTCTGGCACGGCCGCACCATCACGACCGGGTTCAGCACCGGCTCTTTGCCCGATTTGAGCCGCGCGTTGAGCTTCTGCCGGAAGGGCTCGCAGTCCTCCGGCTTGAAGCCGGGCCACGCGCGGACAAAGAAGTAGGGCAGGAAGCCGTGCACGTGCGCCGTCACCGAGTTGCCGCCCTTGGTCACGCCGTAGAAGCGCACGGACGCCGCCCGCTGCTCGCCGGCGCAGAGGGGCGTCGCAAACTCGGGAAGCATGGAGGCGACGGTGTAGTCGGCGTCGATCTGCTGGAAGTCGAGCCCGTCGGTGGCCGGATCGAGCGGCGGCAAGTCCGGGCGCTTCCACCGCTCGCTCTGCGGCACGTCCGCCTCGGCCGCGCCCGCCGCGTCGTCCTCGAGCGGCTCTGGCGGGCCCTCCTCGTCCGCCATCATCTCCTCCTCGTCCTCGAGCATGCCGTCAAGGTCCATGTCGTCAAAGTCGTCGTCGTCGGCGCCCGATCGGCGCTTCGCGGGAGGCGGCGGCGCACCGCCGGGGCGCTTGTTGGCGGAGTGCATATGGTGGGATGTCGTTGCGGCGCTGGGAGTCGCTCGCGCCTAAAGTCGGTGGAAAGAATTTTACTTGTGGCCGAGTCCCACTGCATGACCACGCACACATCATCCCGCGGCCTGGCGGTCGGCGGGATTGCAACCAGTCTTCGCGTGCCGCCTGTCGTTCGATTCGGGCGCCTTGGGCGTCGGGGTGGCGAGCCGCAGGGGACGCGGCTCTGAGCGCCCAGCGACGCGTGTCGGATGGAGTCCGGCCGCGGGTGTCTAGGGAAGTTCGCTCAGGATGTGTGGCAGTCAGTTTGGCTGAGTGTCTTGTCTTGTCTCTCACCTGGCAACCCTGTCTGCTCGTCTCGCGCGCGCGTGAACAGGGCTCCAGGCCCCAAATTACGTGTGAGTGTTAGAGTTGTTTGGTTCTGTGTGTCGCTCCTGTGTGACCGTCATCGCCCGTCTAGCGTCCACCCATACCGCGTTGGTGTCCCAGTCGTTGGTCGGACTGTGTTTCGCCTTCCCATCAATCAGCACGACACGATTCACGCGACAGGCGAGGCGCGGGCGACGGCTTCCTCAGAAGCCGTCGCCCGCACCACAGGAGCAGTCACACCACTCCCACTCCGGCGCCCACCCACTCCCCAACCCGACATCCCCACCCCACCCCTGGAGAAGAATTTTACAACAAAACTCCGCGCACAACACTGGGCACGGGACTGGCGCGCACTGGCACTGAAAAGAATTTAAACAAAACAACTCTCTCTCACAGCAGACAGGCTCGACACAGGTGCGAACTGGCGCGTGCTAGTACTATCACAGGCACACCACCGGAGCCGCCTAAGCGAAAAGAATTTTACAACAAAACTCCCTCGCACAACACACTGGGCATTGGAAAAGAATTTAAACAACACAATTCTCGCTCACAGCAGCCATCCCTCCCTTGGGTTGTCCGTTTTCTTTCTTTCTTTCAGCAGCCATCCCTGCAGCGAGAAGCGGCGAGAGACTGCGAAGAGAGATAGGTAGGAAGAGGCAGCAGCTGCGGCCGCGGTGGCAGAGTCGGCCGCGGTTCGAGCGAGCAGCTTACATAAACCCGAGACGGTGACGGGAAGCGGCGTGCGGTCTCAGGCCCAGTGAGGTAGTGCGCCAGCCCAACCCGGATCCTGCTGAACAAGCTCCTCTTGTAGCTCGATCGGTCACACCGCCATCGCCGTCGGGGAGAGGGGGGACGACACTGCCTCGGCAGCGTGCACCTCGATCCTGTACCGTGTTTGTTATGACCCCCCCCAATGAACACACCAGTGAGGGAGGGCGAGACGATCGAGGGGTCCCGTACCATGCGGAACCGACCCTATCCAGTGCTCAAGTGCTCAAGGAAGAGGCAGACTCCCTAGGGTGGGCGACGGCTAGCGCATCACACACCTCTCCTTAAAATCCCTGTGTGGTGGCGGCGTGCCGTCCTCCCATCCCTCCCTTGGGTTGTCTGTTTTCTTTCTTTCTTTCTTTCAGCAGCCATCCCTCCCTTGGGTTGTCTGTTTTCTTTCTTTTCTTTAGCAGACAGGCTCGACACAGGTGCGAACTGGCGCGTGCTAGCACTATCACAGGCACACCACTGGAGCCGCCTTAGCGACTCCGTTAAGAACGGCAATGCACTTAGCTCCGTGCACAATGCCGCTGTCCCCGCACGCTAGCTCGTTCACCGTCTGCCACGCCACGGCGGTGTGGAGAACGACAGACAGGCGCTGCATCTGCAG